CCCTGAAGACTAAACTAGAGCAGAACTATGCTCAGAATATGATTAGGAGTGGCTAAACCGAGCTCCTAAGTACCTTGTTGTGGAAGGTGGGTGTGTTGTGTCGAGTGGGTTTTTGAAAAGGTTGAGTTCACGGGATGTATTCTGATTGGTTAGATTGGTTTCGCATCGCGACTTTTGGATGTGTCGCGACTGCGAGCGAACCAAACCTTCGCCGTGCGAAAATGTTTAACGAAAATCACGAAACGTGGGGTCGAATGGGTACCGTTCGCCACATGTTAGAATGTCGCGCCTCGGGAAATTGTACACGTTCCGCTTTGGCGACTCATGCCAACGAGTTGGCGAAACACGTAAACTCGAAATTGGCCTCGCCAAATGCCCAAATGTCGCGACGCGAAAGAGTCGTGACATTTGCGACGCAGGAAAAAAACACATTCGTGTGTACGGTTGTGAGAGAAAATCACGGTTGGGAGAAATGTGCGTGTGACACTATAATTCCTGATATACACAGACCCGGTTTCAATTTTTCGGTCGAATTATACGGTCGTATTTTTGAACCAAACACAAAAAACCTCAATCCACCGTATTAAACCGTATTTTACGGTCGTATTATACGATTCCGTATTATACGGTGAAAATTCAATAATACGGTCGTAATTTTGAACCTTGGTCACGGCCGTGGTGTCACTGCATACCTGGTAAATTCAAGTCCCGTTAGGTGGAGAATGAGATGGAGCCACTAGACTTAGGTGGACCCGTTGTTAACCTGCGTACCACTCCTTTCATGCTTCACAATCTCGGAGCACCACACAACATCGCACTGCACAGCACTGGACCGCACTGCACTGTGCCATGGTCTCACTCACCGTGTATTTGGTGGATTCCTTGCCCCAACCGCTGCGATCTGCGTGGGCTCTCCCCAGCGTGTGCGCTCCTGACAGGGCCACTATCTCCTGTTGTGTTTCCCGCGTGCAGATAGGCAGGCACACACACAGGCAGACACACACATACTACGGCAATTGAACCCTTTCTAACTTTTCCAAATTACACAATAGCGACCGCATCACACGCCCAACCACGTCTCTCTTTCACACAAACCTCCCTGCTCCTCGCACCACTTGTCCCACTGCATTGCCCCCTCGCCCCACCTGCCCCTGCCCCACCTGCACTTGCCGCAATCCCCACCCTCACCTGGTCGTTAAGCCCCATGCGGTAAAACACCTTGGAAGATGATCCGCTGGGGAGGGTTACAAATAAGGCAAAGTGGTTACGGTGATAACAGCGACAGTGCTGTCGTCACCTGCCCCCTGCCTCATGCCCCACCTGCTCGCTGCCTCACCTGGTCATCGAGTCCCATGCGGTAAAACTTCTTGTGCAGATGATCCTCTGGTGGTGATACCGGTGTTAGCAGCAGTAACAACTGTAGCGGCGTTAGCAGTGGTAACAGTGTGATTGAGTGCACACAGTGCTCTCCTCACCTGGTCGTTGAGCCCCATGCGGTAAAACACCTTGCGCAGGTGATCCGCTGGGGAGGGGGGCCCCGCATCTGACGGTGGGCAGGACCGGCAGAGGATCGGGACAAGGCAGACGATGGGGGAGTTGGGGAGGAGTAGATGGGGGAGTAAGGGGAGGAGGGGGAGGAAGGGGAGGAAGGGGAGGAAGGGGAGGAGGGGGAGGAAGGGGAGGAAGGGGAGGAGGGGGAGGAAGGGGAGGAAGGGGAGGAAGGGGAGGAAGGGGAGGAAGGGGAGGAGGGGGAGGAGGGGGAGAAATGGGAGGATGGGGAGGAGAAGGAAAACAGGCTAACTGCATTGCATCTTGAAAATGTTACTAACTAACTGCATTGCTTTTGTAAACCCCTTATGTCTTTCTATTTTATAGTGATTACATACCTCCAAGTTCTGTTCCAATCACCTAACGGGTTCTGTTGGAAGCACCTGGAGGGTTCTGTTGAAATCACCTGGCAGGTTGCCTTCAGGTGTGCAGTCCTCGGGTCCGGTCGAATCCACTCGGCCGTACCTCATGGGGATGACCGGCCCACCTGCGAACTGGTGTTAAGTGGGATGGGGTTGGGTGGGGTTGGGTAGGGTTGGGTTAGGTTGGGCTGGGTTGGGTTGGGTTGGGTTAATTGGGTTGGGGTGGGTTGGGTTGGGTTGGGTTGGGTTGAATGACGCACGTATAATGCATGCATCTCCCCGTGACCCATTCACCTGCATCACACACGGCACTGCACGGGCTCCTGCCAGTCTTGCGGTGAGGCATTACATGCCGCACAGAAAACAAGTCCCCCAGGCCTGCTCCCACTCACCTCCACGGCTGTAGCGCTGGCGAGTTGGAACAGGTCGGCCCAGCTGACGGCAGGGAAGGCGTCCTTGACCGGCTGTAGCAGCGCAATGGCCCCCGCCAGCCCCTTGTTGGCGCCGTGGTCGATCTCCGGGCGGAAGCGAATGCTGCCGTTGGCACCGCCCTGCTTCGGCCACTCGCCCACAGACTTGTCGAACGTGCCCGCATCGTGCCAGCCCAGGCGGATCTGTAGGGAGGCGAGGGGGGAGGAGAGGAGGAAGGAGAGGAGGGGGCGGGGAAGAGAGGCAGGGTAATGAGCAGCAAGGGGAATGGGGCGAGTCCTAGGGGACCAGGCCTCAAGCACAGGGGGGAAGGTGGCATGAGAGAGGGCTGTAGCATCGCCATGGCCCCCGCGATGGCCCCCGCGATGGCGAATCTGTTGGGAGGGAATGTTGGAGGGAGCGGAGGAGTGAGGATCGGAGTTGATTCTTCACTCGTGTCTGATTCCTCTGAATCTAAGCGTCAGACATAAAGGAGATTCACCTGACAGATTTACCTGAGCCGTTCTGACAGTCGTACAACCAAATTCGGTAACCGATTCAGTAATAATTTGGTGCTAAGTTTGGTATTGAACTCCGTACTGGATTCGCCACTTCAAACGGTAATGTGAAATGAAAAGGTGACTTGCAACCGTAACTTAAACCGGCAACTTGAAACGGTAACTGAAAACGGCAACGTACGAGAATAGGGTTGCACGACTTGCTCGTGATGATGTCCTTAATCGCCTCGCGCGCTCCGCGCAGCTGCGCCACGTCAGCAGACGCGAACACGTGGCCGGGGCGCACGGAGGTTGCTCGCGGCTTGCGGCCCGTTGCTGCCCGCAGCGCTTGTCTCTGTAATGGCGCCACGTGAACGCGTAAAATAGAAAAGTGAATAGAAGGGGGAGGGGGGCGGGGGGGGGGGGGGAGGAAGGGGAGGGGGAAACGGGAAAGGGGAATAAGGGGAGGTGGGGACGGAGCGTGAAGAGCGATGGAAAGGGGAAAGAAGGGGGGAGAGCAACAGGTACTTTCTTACGCATCAAAACTTGTAGAAAACAAACGGAGAGTATTCGATGCATAAGAAAAGCGAAGGACTAGAAGGGAGGTTTCAGGATCCTGGAGAAATCTTTCCGAGAAATGTCACTTGAATATTGATCGGATATCTTCGACAGCATTTTCATACACGGGGACGGCAGCGGAAAGTGATTCAATCACTTACGTCAACGGAAAGTGATTCAATCACGTACGTCAACGGGCCGCGATGGGAGAAAGTCGCTCGTAAGGGCGGCGGAGGCGCGTCTGGAGACACCAGCAGAGGATGCGGTGAGGGAACACGTGGCGGGCTGCCCGCATCTCGCGGCGGAAGGCCCCGCAAGGCGCGCGGAGGCAGCGGAAGGAGCGGCGAGGGTTGCGGACGTCATGGCGGAAGAAAGTATTCGTGAAGAAGCGTGAAAGAAAGTATCGGAGGGCAAGAAAGTTGCGCTCGGCACCGCAAGCTAGCTTGGTTGTGCTTTGTGTATTTGAAGATGTGATGGGGGTGCAATTTATGCTCGTGCTAGCTGTCAATCTCATCCAGCCGTTATTGATCTCGAAGAACCGTTCTTCCCCGCAATAAAAGTTACTCAACCGCCTCGCAGAGGGCATGCAGTAGAGACGCTGATGCTGGCTCGGGAATACAGCTGATGCTCACCCCATGCGCGCGAATTTGCCTTGCGCCGGATGGACACGCTGCACCCGAGGTTGTTTCCCCAGCTTCATGCACCCACATTACAAGCGCGTCAAGCAGAAGAGACCGAAGTCAAGCAGAAGAGACTGAAGTCAAACTAGGTAACTAGGTAGCAGAGTCTTGTTTATAAGCACATGCGAATTCTTTTTAGCTAGCTGCGAAATTGACGAACTTATGCGAAACGCACGATACAGCTTATACGCCCCCTTCACAAGGCAACCGGGAGGGGCTCAATCAGGCATCAGTTTGTATCGAGGTTTGGTTGGGTGGTAAGAGGAGATCGATGTTGACGTGGCAAATGTGACCTCTGACGTGGCGAACGACACGATTCATGACAGCAAGTCGCCACGATGCTTCCCAGATCTTCGAGGAGGGCAAAAGCGGGTTCTCCATTGGCAAAAGTACGTTACTCGATCCAAACTCGCCAGGCAGCCATGGATCTCTTCAGGGTTTTCAACCCAGCATTTCGTGAAGCCGACGTGTCAGCTGGTCTTGAAAGCTACAGTTTTGAATTCGCGTTATCGCGACGAAGCGAATGGTACACTTATTATGTCCATCAGGCGGACATCGTAACTATTGCTTCTCGGGATCTGCTGTCAAGCTTCCAAGGTTTCATCAGCCATCAGGCAACGCATTCAGCATTATCGAAGATTATCCACTGGTTGTGTCAGGAATCTAACGCGCAGGACGAGGATTGGTTATTCATATTACAATATACTACCAAGGCCCATGGACATCATCCCTTGGTTGCGTCAGCTGGAATACAGCATATGTGTCAAGAAGACTCAACAGCTAATGGGGACATGCGGTCTCTACTTAAGAAGTTGCTCAGACACCCAGCGTATCAGGCATTTCTGGCCTTTTGTCTTACAACACTGCTGGTCTACGATCATCATTGCACCATGCCGCGTGCTCCGCCTAAAGGGAGAGTGCCTTCGACGAAGAAGCAGACTGATGCCATGGAGGATCCACCGCTACCTGCAGACAAAGGCAAAGAGAAAGTGGTTGAGGAGGATGCTGCTGTGACCATCCATACGGAAGGGAGCAGCTCTGGTCTGTCCCTGGAGGAGAAACTTGCTGCGCTTACCTCTGCTCATGCTGACGCTGATGACTTCACGGATGATGACTCCGACGACGAGCTTGAGTTTGATGTCACGAAAGACCTCGTCGCCAAGCAGCGCTTCACGGCCATCCTGCTGATCCCGTTCATCCTGCAGCAGGAAATGGCGAATGTTATTCTGACCGTGCGAATGTTGTTAAAGCGTGTTTGGTCTACCCTGTTATCTGACGGAGCTAACACCCATGTGGGTTGTCAGGACCTGTTCCCGGCTTATGTTGCAAAGACGAAGTACAGCCGGCTTCAGTTATCATTCCTGAAGGAAGAAGATGCAGTTAATGTGCGTCAGGCGACATTGGAATACCAGCGTGCGAACAGCAGTGTCACTCACAAGCTCCACTGGCTGCATGCTGAGAATGCGGCCTTCATTCGATTTAAGGCGTCCAACGCGCGTGCGCTCGAAGTTCTCTTTAAAGGTGTTCCTGCGAATATCACTCCGGAAGGGTTGGAAGAGATGCTGACAAAACACAAGCTGAAGATTCGACAGGTCACACCGTTCCTTGAAGGACACTGCTTTCACCGTGTGCTTCATCCGGTTTCTGGAGCTGACACGGACGTGATCAAGGGCTTGGTTATTCCACATACGGAGGAGAAGAAGCGTCGCCATATTCACCAGATCAGTCATCCTCTGGAGCACGGCAAGAAGCTCCTGGTTCACTACCCCATGCTCTCCTGTCAGCTCTGTGGGGGGTGGCATTATGACAAGCATCATGATGTCTTCGTCACAGAGCGACAGAATAACATAGGGAAGTGGGACTTGAGTTTGAGCCGGGTGCATAGAATCAATGGTAACGGAGCAGTAATGTTCTCAGCTGATTGCTCTTACCTCCTGTCTTCTCCTGGTACTGACCCATTGGCCGCCTGTCGCAGCTGCGTCCCTGCTGGCATCACGCCTGACACGTCCGATCCTCCTGGATCCTGCGATTGTGCTGATTTCCACTGGAAATACCAGGGAGGAGTGGATATGCACACAGCTGAGCTGCGGAAAGGCGCACGGAAAGCTGTTTGTTGCTGCTGCAGAACATATCACCTCGGCTCGACACCTTCACGGTCAGGAGGAGATAGGTGCTGTCACGCGTGCTACCCTGGGGACAGTGAACCTGAAGGGGATTCGCAAGGAGTACGAGATTTAGAGTTTGTGACTCGAGTCTCAGCGGCAGTAGCAGTCGGATGGTCGGTGGTTGCTGTACTTTGCTTTACCTGCCTGTGGATGCGTAGAGGTGATCAAGCTGTGATTAAATGAATACACGGAACACCCTCTCCTTTGCGGGCCTGAACGTCAACGGCCTGGGTGACAGTAACAAACGGAAACGAACAACTGACTGGACTTACAGTACGAAAGCGGCAGATGTGATGATACTCTCAGACACTAGGATAGCCTTAGACCACCCTTATTGGTCCACCCTTAATCTCACCTCCTTTGCTGCTACCACTCCGATTACTCGAGCTGGGGGTGTAGCGATCCTTAGCCGCAGGACCGACCTCTCCTTCCACAATCCGCTAGCGCATCCTTCAGGTAGATTAGTGAAGACTGAGATCCAGTGTGCCAGCCTGAGCCTCACCCTGCTCGCGGTATACTTCCCGTCGGACAAGGCCTTGCGTAGAGCATTCATCAAGACAGTACTAGGACCCACGGTTGACCTCATCCCGCGCGGATCCCACCTGCTCATTATAGGAGACCTCAACATAGTCGAGAACCCAGTGTTAGATAAGACTTCGAAGCAAGGATCGTCAAAGGAAAACGACTCTCTCTCCCAGAGATGCAAGGACTTTGACATTACTGATGCATTCCGCTCTCTTTACCCTTTCAAGCGCGAGTTCACCTTCTTCTCGCAGGTACACCAGGAAAGCACTCGGATTGATCGAGCGTTGGTCTCTCAGTCCCTGCTTCCGCGTCTCATATCCGCCTCTCATGTCAAACCTGAGGAGCCAGTCTCTGACCACGGCTTCGCCATTCGCATCGCCTTCAAGATCAAATCGCAGCTGCGCACGGGCCCGGGGCTATGGCGCATGCACCCATCCATGCTGCACAGACCAGGTGTCCGTAAGCTTACGGAAGAGGTGGAGGGGCAGGTTGCACAAAAAGGCGGTGATTTTGAGGTTCTGATATCTCGCCTGAATATCAGCCTTCGTCGTTACTCCAAGGAGGAGAGCAAAAGGATAAGGGCGACGACCAATCACCTTTCATCAATGGTCGCAGGGTTGGCGCAAGAATTCATGTGCAACCCAAAAGATCAACTGCTAAAAGAGAGATTAAGGAAGGCGGAGCGGCAGTTAAAAGAGTATCACGCATGTCGGCGAGAGAGGAATCACCTTATGGCGGGAATGGCCAAGGAGCTAGTCGGTGAAATCCCGTCTCCTCACCTCTCAGCGAGGATTAAGATGCGGAGGGTTAAGACACAGATAACGGAGCTGGCGGTTCCCGGGGGGGTGGTAACTGAGCCAAAAGAGATTTTGAAGGCGGCATCTGAATACTACAGCGGTCTCTTCGGGGAGGATAAGAGGACGGCACTCTCAAACTGGGTTCCAGCAGCGGGGAAAAGGCTTTGGTTCTCGGAGGCGGAGTGTTTGCAGGAGGACTGGACAGAAGCAGAGGTGAAGCGTGCTCTCAAGGAGATGGCTGACAATAAATCTCCGGGGAAGGATGGGCTACCGAAGGAACTTTTTGAGCAACATTGGGACGTACTGGGGAAACACCTCATGGAGCTGGTACAGAGCTTCACCTCCTCATCGTCGCTCCCGACTAGCGTTAAGGACGCTGTAACCATTCTTCTGCATAAAAAGGGAGCAAAAGAGCAGTTAGAGAACTACCGACCGATAACCTTGCTGAACTTCAGTTACAAAGTACTGGCAAGGGTGCTGGCGAGCAGAATTAAAAAGGTGCTTCACAAAGTCATCTCGGAGGAGCAGTTTGGCTTCATACCGGGGAGAAGGGTGTCGGATGCGGTGGGGCTTGTAGCGGATGTCATCGACGCGGCAAAGAATGGCATGGAGGACTGGTATATGCTGCTGGTCGACTTCAGGAAAGCCTTTGACTCAGTTTCCCGGGACTTCACCTTTGAGGTCCTTAAGAAGATGGGCTTTCCGGAGCGTTTTGTCGGGTGGGTGAAAGGACTGCACGACAACACGCGCACAAGTCTATTAGTTAACGGATGGATGGGGGAAGCAGTGGATGTGGTATCAGGAGTTCGGCAGGGGTGTCCCATCGCCCCTTACTTGTTTCTCTGTGCGGTGGAACCTCTGGTGCAGCTGGTGGAAAAGAAGAAGTTGGGAATTACCATCAGGGGTTGTACTGAGCAACGGCTGGCTTACGTCGGTTATGCCGATGATACTACTCTCCTACTTCAGGGAAAACAGCAAATCGTCAAAGCGGAGGAAGTACTGGAGGAGTTCAAGAACATCTCTGGGTTGGCGACGAATAAAGATAAATCGGTGGTGCTTCCGCTAGGAGTTAACCTTGGCAAAAAGACATGGCGCACAGATGGCTTCAGATGGGCAGGTGCGGATGAGGCTGAAAAGCTTCTTGGTATCTGGGTCACGCCCAGCGGAAGCTGCCAGCCGACCTGGGACAAGGCCCTGGAGAGGATTGTGGGGAAGATGTCCCTGTGGCAGCCGCAGTATTTGCCGATTAAAGCAAGGAGAGCTGTGATGGATGGTTACATCATGCCGATAGCCTGGTCGCAGGCCCAGGTGTACCCGCCGCCTGCTCGGACCTGGGGGGTTATAACGAAGCTGTCGCACACTTTCATGTCAGCCAACAAGGTTACAACGGAGAAATGTTTCTTCCTATGGAGTAAGGAGCTGCTGTACACGCCGGTGTTGGAAGGAGGTGTGGGGGCAAAAGACCCAGAAGCTATGCTTACCTGCTTCACAGCCAGGAGGATTGGGTTGATACTCAATGAGTCCAGTCAGCTAAAACGGAATTTGCTACGGCAGGCAGCAGACTTACCACTGGGGCTCGATACCTTTATGTCGCACGAGAAGCTTCTGAAAGTTTGGGAGGGGAAGAGCCAGCGGTGGAAGTTGGCATGTGAAAACTTCATGCGTTCTCCTCTGGCGGTGACAGGGGCGGAGCGAAGCAAAGAGGAGGTGGGGCTGGAGAGAATTGTGTTTAACAGACACATTCTTCGGAAAGGCTCCACGCCATTTGGGGGACAAAAGGCGGCGAAACGGCTGCGAGAAGTAAGGCTGGGGGATCTGATCCGGAAAGATGAGGAGGGGAGGGGCACGCTAAAGGACCTGGTCACTCTGGAGAGGGAGCTGCTGGGGATGGAGGCTGCGAAGCTGGCACTGGAGGCCTTTGCTGCAGCACCAGAAGCTTGGAGGGGATTGCTTCTCTCAGCTGAGTTACCGCAGATGGGCTTTGCAGAGGTGTATGTGGCAGGGAGAGAGGGGTCAAAGCAGTTGCGCAACAAACTCCTGGTGAAGGGGGAGGTTGCGCCGATGAAGTCACTCAGGTCCTGTTGGGGGCATGGCAGCAGCGGGCAGTCCAGGCGGAAAAAGTGGGAGGACAGATGGAGCGGTCGTATAGACTGGAAGCGGGCAGTTAAAACCCGGGAATCGCTAGTCACCCCCAGCAGGCCAAGGGATGTTTTGCTAAGAATCCACAGTCTGAATCTGCAAGTCGGGGAGAGACTCCCCTTTCTCAGAAGTGGGCCGGTGTGTCCTTTCTGTGGGGTCTTTGAAACATTGGAGCACTGTTTTTCTGAGTGCCCAAAGATCCGGGTGGTGGTTGCAGCAGTGAAGAAGGCCCTGCGCATGATTAATCCTGGCAGGCGGGCGGAATCGCTGGGGGACTGGCTGTTCGGAAAGGCAAACTCCACGTCAGCATTCCCCGAGGCGACTCTGATCTCTATCGCTTTGCATCAACTATGGGTGGAGAGGTGTGAAGGGGCCTTTCGCGGGTGTAAATTTCGCACGAGGCGGGTACTGCGGAGGATTGAAACTGCTCTGCGCATGCATGTCAACATTTACGTGCGTGCCTCAGCGGGAAAGCTGCAACAGAAGGGGAAGGTGCAGCAAGCCAGATGGCACGTGATGACGAATCAGGAACAGTGTCTTCTGAACCGCATCAGGGTGGTGGAGGGCAAGGGCTGGCGGTGGTCGGCCAAATTCGCAGCAATTTGGGGCAAGCCACACAGGCCCCGGATCCACATGTAAGGATCGGATTTCTCGGAGGCAGGCATCCTGCTTCTCACGTACAGTTACGACTGTTTATGTGATATACGCTTCTGTACTGGTGTATAGCATATATAAGCAAAAAAAAAAAAAAAAAAAAGTTCTCCATTGGCAGTACACCGCGCTAACTTAACAAGTTAATAGTATTCTAGCAAATACAAAAGTAATAACCAAAGACGCCACGACAATGTGCAAGCTATGCTTGTTTTGTCATCTCAGGCATACGTTCAAGCATAGATCCAGCAAGGCAGCACGAGTATAAATTATATTCACATCTTTCAGCTGAGTGCTGTGTTGATAATGGCACCCTTGTCACTGTGTTGTTGCCCTCTTACTCATCCTCTTCATCCTCCTCGTCCTCCTCTCCGTCGTCTGACTCATCCTCCTCTTCCTCCTCATCCTCCTCCCCCTCACTCTCCTCTTCTTCCTCACTCTCATCCTCAAACTCCACCACACTACCACCTCCATCATCACTCTCCTCCTTCTCCCGACTCTCCAGACTCTCCACAATCCCCTCTTCCACCCTCTCACTCATTCCCCTCACACCTGATGCCGAACCTGGCCTCTGCCTGACTTGTGCACTAGACACACCTGAGCCTCTAACAGCCCCTCCAAGTGCCCCTCCAGGTGCCCATGCAGGGGCAGCATCAAAAGCAGCGCCGCGTGCACCACTGAAGCCACTTCCCGTCCAGACCGCCCCACTCCCACAAGACATGGACACGCCGGGCATGTCCTGCCACTCCCCATCCCTGCCCCCTCCCCCATCCCTCCCCGCTCTGCTCCCGCACTCCCTCCCTCCGCCCCCTCCTGCCCCTGCCCACCTGGAAACCATCGGTCTGCCCAGACCTAACCCCATGCCAGACACAGGGCCAGACCCAGAGCCTATCTCCGCCCCTAGTCCTTCCTTCCAGGGGGGAAGTGGCGCCAACTCGTCCCAATTGTCATCCCATCTGTCATCCTGTCTGTCATCCCATCTGTCATCCCGTCTGTCATCCCGTCTGTCATCCCGTCTGTCATCCCGTCTGTCATCCCGTCTGTCATCCCGTCTGTCATCCCGTCTGTCATCCCGTCTGTCATCCCGTCTGTCATCCCGTCTGTCATCCCGTCTGTCATCCCATCTGTCATCCCGCCTGCCACCCCCCTTCTCATCCATCATCCTCGTCGTTGTACTCACCACCTCCGTCCCGCCCTCTTCCTCGTGCTCGTCCAGTGAGCGCATGGCCGGGCGGCGTCGATTGGAGGTACTGTGCCGCCTCAGGAGCGACGTGCCAGCTGCAGTATACCTCCCTGCCAGCCCTGTGCCTCTCAGCCCGCCCTCTGCTTGGAATCCCCCTCCCCCTCCCCCTCCCCCTCCCCCTCCACCTCCTCCTGCTACTCTTCCAGCCCCTCCCCTTTCTGTCCCACCCCCTGCTGCTCTGGCATCATCCTCATCTGACCACTCCTCCCCATCGGAATCTCCTGCGTTGCTTCCACCATTACCAATACCACCACCACTCACCCCACTGCTTCTTCTCCTGTCATCTCCACCATACCCTCCCACCCCCCCTGCCTCCCTTCCATGCAGCCCCGCACCCCCCCTTTCCTGGAAGGATCCTGTGCTCGCCCATCTGCCATTGTATCCCCTCCTATGGTACTTGTCATGTCCTCCGAGCCTCCCCCCATACCTCTCCCCCAGCATCTCCCCGAACCTCTCCCCGAGCCTCTCCCCATGCTCCTCCACACAGTCCTCCCCCCACTCCTCCTGCTCCTCCAAGTCTCTCAGCCTCTCCCCACCAAACCTAGCACTCTCCCCGAACCTGTTGCGGCTGCCTCGGCGGCGCAGGCTTCGGTCCGGAGCTGTCTGGGGGCGTTCATCTTGTCTGCCATACTCCCACTGTGAGTGGGTACTCACTTGCTCCTCTGAAGCTGGACCAGCAGCTGGATACCCACCGTCCCCTTCCCAGGGAAGTACCCCTGGATTTTGCTGGGGGTAATTACCCACGTTGTGTGAATGCACGGGTAAAACTGCCCGGTTGTCGACGGAAGAAGGGTGATCGGGGGAGTCCCAGGGATCGGGGACAAGGTCTCTAGGGAGAGGCGACTTCTTGGCATGTGGCAGGGCGTGTAGGCGATCGAAGCGCGGGCTGTTTACTGCTATGCGTGGGCTTGCTGCTACGTGCGGGCTGAGCAAGCTCGGAAGGCTGGGCAGCACACGTGGGCTCTGAAGGTGGTTCCAACGCCCACTGCTGCTCCTTCCTGCGCCAGAAGCAGCAAATGACGCGGATGCAGAACCTGGGGTAAGGCGAGAGAGTGAGTCGGGACCTAGATCAGAGTCAGGTTCTGTCAGGTGGATTCTCAGGCGGGGACCTGGGAGGCGGGCAGGCCGGTCGCGTGGGCCAGCGGGAGGGGAGGAGTGAGGGGCAGTGCTGGGTCGGGATGAGAGTGAAGGAGGGACTGGGCCTTCTCGGTTATCTGCAGTGGGGGATGGAGGGGAATGAGGGGAAGGGGGGTTTGGAGGGGTGGAAGTGGAGAAGCGGCTGTGGGGGGAAACGGGGAGGAGAGAGGGCGCAGCAGCAGGCGGGCGGGAGGGAGGGGAGGGGCGGCGAGGGGAGGGCAGGGGGAAGCGGGGGGACCTGAGAGGGAAGTGGTTGGTGTGGTGGGGGAGGGCGTGGGGAGAGCGGAGGGGGAAGGGTTGGCTCATGGCAAATGCGGATGGCAGAGCAGAGCTGTTCCAGCTGTCATGGGTCGAAGCAGCGACAGAGACAGAGGAAGAGGCGGAGGGGCGGGAGGCGGAGGGGCGGGAGGCGAAGGGGTTGGGGGGGTTGAAAGGTTGACTCATGGCAAACGCGGGTGGCAGAGCAGAGCTGTTCCAACTATCATGGGTTGAAGCAGCGGCAGAGACGACAGAGGGAGAGGCAGAGGGGCGGGAGGCAGAGGGGCGGGAGGCGGAGGGGTTGGTGTGGTGGGGGAGGGCGTGGGGGGAGCGGAGAGCTAATGGGGGGAAGGGTTGGCTCATGGCAAATGCGGAGGGAAGAGCAGAGCTGTTCCAGCTGTCATGGGTTGAAGCAGAGGCAGAGGCAGAGGGGCGGGAGGCGAAGGGGTTGGGGGGGTTGAAAGTCTGGCTCATAGCAAATGCGGGGGGGAGAGCAGAGCTGTTCCAGCTGTCATGGGTTGACGCAGCAGCAGCGGCAGAGGGGCGGGAGGCGAAGGGGTTGGGGGGGTTTCGGTGATGGGGTGCAGGCGCTTGGGAGGCGGAGCGGGGGGAGAGCGCGTGTTTCTTCCGATAGTGCAGAGCAGATGCATGGTAAGCAGAGGCGGAATGGGTGGAAGCAGGGACGGCGGAGAGAGGGAGCGGGGCCGCATTCCATGAATCATGCGCCCTTGCAGCAGAGGACGAGGAGGAGGAGGAGGCAGAAGAAGGGCGGGCAGGGGAGGGGCGCGCATGGCCCCGGCGTCTGCCTCTGCTTAACAGGCTCTGACCAGTGAATGCAGTGAGGGGGGGGTTGACAGCACTGAAAGCACCTCCCCCAGACGCATCCTGCTCATTGTCCATGTTCATGAGAACAAGCCTTGCTTTCTGCCCCTCCTCTCCCTCTCCCTCTCCCTCTCCCTCTCCCTCCTCCTCTTCCTCCTCTTCCTCTTCCTCCTCCTCAGCCACCCACACATCTGCTCGCCCCTGCGGACTGGTATCATCTGCATCACACTCTCCCACACCCGCTCCTCTCCTGCTCCACCCCACACTCCCTCGCTCCCACTCCTCCTGTTCTTCCCACTCCTGCTGCTGTGGCTGCTGCTGCCACGGCTGCTGCTGCTCCTGGTGTGATACCGCCTCACCCCACGGCAGTTGAACCTGCTCTAGTTCCACCTGTTCCAGTTCTACCTGCTCCCAACCTACCTGCCCCTGATCCACCTCCCCCACATGCTGCCAGCTCTCAGCAGTGAACGGCCGGTGCGGCATCTCCAAGGAAGCAGACGATCGATGCCGCCCAAGCCGACTCCTCTGGCCCTTCTCACCCCTGCCACCACCCCCACTGCTGCTGTTTCTTGGAAACTTCTCCCAACCAGCTTTATCACAATCAACACCCATCCTATCCACATCACCACCACAAACCCCAACCTCTATCCCCACGCTTCCCCTGCCTCCCACCCCTGAAAGCACCGCTACAGATGCACTTCTGCCATGCTGTGCCGCCCGCAGGCCGCACTTCGCGACACTGTTCATGAAGGCCGGGCGGCGCGCTCCCAGCTCGCTGAGGAAATCGCGGGCTTCTGACGCCGCCCGGCGGTGGCGGGAGTTGGAAGATAGTGGGCTCTGGGCTGAGGCCGGGCGGCGAAGAGAGGATAGGGGGAGAGAATTGGGAGGAGCTACCTTTGCTGCTGCCGATGCCGCTGCTGCTGCTGCTGCTGAATCCCCCGTCTCTGTCCCCCTTTCAACGCCTTTCCCGTTTCCTGTGTCAATAAAAGAGCCTCCGTTGCTGTTAGTTCCTGCTGCTGCTGTGTCCTTTGGTGCTGCTTCAGCCGCTGAATTCCCTTTGCCATTTGTCTCTAAACCCGTGGTTTCACCTGACTCGCCACCTGAAACAGGAGCACCATCCATAGCAGAGCCTGAAACAGCTCCATCTGACACAAAAGCACCTGCACTAGCAGTGGATGCAGAACCTGAAGTGCCAGCACCTGAATCGGTACCTGAGGAAGCATCTGCAGCAGCACCTGATGCAGCACCTGAATCAGCACCCAAGACAGCAACAGCACCTGAAGACGCTCCTGAAGACACTCTAAGGCCGGCAGCAGGGCTGTCAACCGAAATATCCATCTGTCCTGGTGAGGGGGTCAGGGGGAGCGACAGCCGAGCAGTTGTAGCACCTGACGCGGCTGTAGCAGCAGAGGCAGCTGTAGCATCCCGGCCAGCTACTGCCAAGCCGTTGCTAGCAGTTCCCCTGGGCTCTTCATCAGGAGACTTTTCCCTTGTGCCTGTGGGGCTGCTGGGTGAGTGGTGGAGCAGGTGGTGCAAGAGATGAGGCAGGGGAGGGACGGACTCCTCTTCCTCCTCTGCCCCGGCTGCATCAGCAGCAGAGGAGTTGTGGGGTATGATGCCCCAGGGCTTTCGAGTCTGTAACGACGACAGGGAGGACGAGAGAAACGCCTGCTCCTTAGCCGCTCCCCCTGCTCCCCCTCCTCCTGCTCCTCCTCCTGCTGCTGCTTCCCCTCTGCTTCTTCCATCCAGAGAGGCTATTTCCCGGGACGTGGGAGTTGAAGGAAGGGAGAACGCTGTGATGCTAGGGCCGGTATCATCACTGCTCCCAGCCCTCCCACACCCCACACGAGAGAGATCTTCTCGCGACTGGCGAGACTGCTGCTGCTGCTGCTGCTGCTGCTGCTGCTGCTGCTGCTGCTGCTGCTGCTGCTGCTGCTGCTGCTGCTGCTCATAATGCTGCTGGTAATCCTGCTGCTGCGAGAGAGCAGCAACGGGCATACCCGTTGGCGACAGGGGCAGCAACGAAGCCTCGTCCTCCCCATATCCCATTCCCCCACGCCCATCCAACAGTCCCGGTTCGTACACACCCGGTTCCAGCATATTCGGCTCAGGCAGCAGTTCAACTCGAGGAGGGCTGAACCGCCCCTTAAGAAACTCCTTGAAGCTGCCCTCACGGGACCTGCCCCTGCCAGACCCCGATCCTGCTAGTGCTCTGCCAGAGCCTGATCCTGTCAATGCTCTGCCGAGAGTTTGGGAAGAACCCGAAACTGGCCGCGAGTTTAGAGCTGATTGTGAGTCTGAAGAGTAACGCTCATCTCCTGTTAGTGAGAGTTCATTTAACCCACCTCTTGTGCCTTGCCCCCCTCCCTCCCTTGCTCCTTCTGCTCCTCCTTCCCCTCCTCCTTCCCCTCTCCTTGCTCCTGTTTCTCCTCCTTTCCTCCGCCCCCATATGCCCCAGAACTTCTTGCCCGCGCCCTGCCTCTGCGCGCCCGCACTCCCATCCAGCTCTTGGCTAAGCGTTTCACTTACCGAGTTATTGTAGCTCACAGACTTTTTCATCAGCGAATGGCCACTAGCTCCTCCCTCGCCCTTCCCCTCCCCACTCCCCACACTCCCGCTGCTCCCATCCGGCTCTTGGCCAAGCGACTTACTTACAGAGATATTGTAGCTCACAGACTTGGTCATTATCAGTGCAGGACTAATAGCATCACTCACGCCTTTCCCCTCCTTGCTTCTCACACTCCCCCTTCCACAGTTCCCCCATTCCCCCAGGTCCGCTCCGCCCCCATGTCCCTCTGCGTCTCCTTGCGCTAGCACACAATGCTCCGCTATGGAGTGCTCCACTATGGATGGAAAAGTGCTTAGAGAAGCGCTCTTTCTGTGTCTGCGACCGGTTGGAACCAGTTTGGAAGGGCCAAATGGAGAGAAAGTGCTGCTTCTACCAAACGCGCTGCTACCCCACCCTCCCTTCTTCCGCTGCATTTTCTCCCATCCTGATTTTGCGCTTTCTCCTTCTCCTCCTCCTTTTCCTCTCTCTCCACCTGCACCTCCTCCTGCTGTTGGTATTCTTGGCGATCGAAGCACACTGCTGCTGCAATCTCCCCCGCTGCTCTCCCCCTCGCACTCCCCGTCCCTCTCTCTTCCACACGCCTCGCTCCCCCTCGGTCCCCCAAAATCAAGCAGGCGAATAGAGTCCGCGGAGCGATGGTGGGGGGAAGACTGGAGCGGGGAGGCGGGGCGGGGCGGGCGCGAGTGCGCGAATGGCGAGGGGAGCGGATGGGCGGCCGGCGAGGGGGGTGGGTAGGCGGAAGGCGAGGGGAGGGGGTGGGCGGAGGGTGAGGGGAGAGGGTGGGAGGAGGGCGAGGGGAGGCCGTGGGCGGACGGCGAGGGGAGAGCGTGGGCGGAATGCGCGGAGAGGCGTCCGGAGGAGGGGGAAGGGGATGAGTCCGCAGCCGCCGAACTGGGCGCGGGGCGAGGGGACGCGGAGGAGGAGGAGGGGGAGATGAAGACATGCGCGCGCGGAGGAGGGTTACCAGCTTGGGGCGGCTTTGGGGAGAAAGGAATGCGTGCGGCCATTAGAGGGGCGAATAAAGGCGACACGAGATCAACAGATAACGATCTCCTGTGCGCTCGCTCCCTTCTGCCCGCTCCTTCCCCTCCCCCTATCCCTCCGCCTCCCCCTCCCCTGGTCCCAGGCTGAACTCTCACCCGCCGGCCCCCGCCCTCACCTTCCCCCACAACCCCTCCGCCGATTCCCGCCGCTCCCCCTCCCTCATCACTCACAAGTAAATCATCCTCCCCTCCCCCGCTCCCGCTTCCGCTCCCCAGCCCGCCCCTGCCCCCGCCCATGCTCGCTTTCAGACTAGACGACGTGCGGAACCCTAACGCGCCTAGTCCCGCCCACCGCAGCGGACTGAAAGGCATCCGCGGACTATTCGCGCAACTATTTGTCGCGCTTCCCGTCGCGCTCCCCGCGCCCCTGCTAGAGTGCGGGCTTCCGCATGGACTGAATCCGCTTCCGCCTGCGGCAGCGCGCGCGGGAATCGGCGGAAGAAACTTCGGGGAAAATGACTGGATGCGGGAGGGCCTTCCGCCCGCGCCCCCCCCGGGCAAGGGGCTGGCTTGCGGAGTGTCGTCGAGGCTGGTGGAAGCGGGAATGGCGAGCGGCGGAAGGGCGTTGGCGGAGAAATATACACGGTCGGAAATTGCGGAGTGACACGTGTCACCGTTTGAGCGGTCGAAGCTTTCGGATCGGATAGGACTCAATGCGCGTCCTCTGCTGCGGCTTCTCCTCCAACTCCCAGTAGTACCCGCAGCGCTGCTTATTTCTTGGTTTCGCCCGTCCCTCCGACTCATTCCACTCAGTGCATCGTCCCCTGACGAGAATCCCCCAGTGTCACTAAGACCTGCTCCTGACGCACCTGCACCCACTGTTCCTCCCTCCCCCTCCCCCTCACCGCCTCCTCCGCTCACCGAAAACGCCCTGGGCCCGAACCTGAACCGGCTCGGGCTTTTCAGGTCCAAACCTGAGGCTTGGCCGAGGAACCAAAAAGGCTCGGATAAGCTACGGCTGCGAGAATGGCTGCCTTTGGCGCGCCTGCTCTTAGCGAATAACGCGGACGGCTGTAGGCCGTCCGGCGGCGCCAGCAAGCGCGGGCTGGGGGACGCCGACGACGCTGACGTGGCAGCCGCAGGACCGGCGAGAGAACCGGCTGCTGCCACGTCAGCGGATGAAAGGCGCGGGCTGGCGGCACTAGAGCCTACGTCCGACGCGTGATGAGTCCCGAGAGGGGAACTCGCGACGGACGTGGAGGCTTGGGAGAAGGAAAAGGGGGAGAGCGAGAGGAACGCCATTGATGACCGCGACCGACCGTGCCTGGACGCGCGCTTCGGAGTTGGCGGCATTCCCAAGGGCACGCCCCCCCCCACCCCCCCCGCGGTTCTGCTGCTGCTCGCGGTGCTGCCACCGCAGCTCGGGCCCGCTTCTCGCGGGCTCGCTCCCACTTCTCGTCTTCTTCTTCCTCGACCAAGAAGGTTCGCAGCGGCTTCGATTGTCGATACCGACCTCTCTCCAGAAACCTCGGCCGCCTCCGCCGCCGCCGCCGCTGCGGCTTTCTCCTTTCGCTGCTCCTTATCCACAGCCGCAATCGCCAACGCCGCTGCCTCCGCAACCGTCACATGCGGCGCGGAACGACTGCCCTGAGCCGTTCGATCGAGCGAAGGCCCCCGTGACCCGAGCCCAGGCCGTAGATCTACCCCTAATGATCCCGAATGAAGTCCTGGAAACGCGGTACTAAATGGCGTGGCAGTGGCGTCAGCAGTGTCATCCGCATTGACAGCAGCAGTGGTAGTAGCAGCAGCAGCACTGATAGCAGCAGACGCTGAAAGCCGAGAAGACCCTTCCTTTGCGTCTACGCTAATGCTTCCCGAGCGCCGTCCCGGTGATTCGCCTTCGTCGGGCGAATCCCAAGATTCGGCGAGCAGGCTTTGCCCGAAAACCGGCAACGCGGCGACGGACGATGGGCCTTCGCCGGCCGAGACTGCTAGTCTCGCAGTCATGGCGAATGTGCAAATCGTAGGGCCCATTTTCGGCGGGCCTGCTACGTGAGGGTAGATTCTCGAGCCGCGATAGTAGCTACCCAGGTCATGATCATCGTCCATCAAATAAGTTAGTAGGCGCTCCGCTGATTAGGTTTTGCTTTGAGAAAAAATATTAGCCAGTGAAAACAGAGAGCTGTTGTGTATCATTCCAACCACAAGTCTTTCTCAGACTCCACAGCCTTTGCCGGACGGTGTCTTCCACATGAATCTTTCAGCGCATCGCTGAGGTTCAGAGTCTCACCAGTTCCCCCCCGATGACTGACACGTGTCATGGGAATCGGTCTCATCTCATGGATAGCAGCATCCGTCTGACTGCTATTGAATGCAAAGCTGGTGTGACTAGCGAAACAAACAGGTCAGTTGGGTTGGGAGGAGGGACGGGAGAAGTCGGGACCCGGGGGGGGGGATGACCGAAACGGGAGAGGAGAGGAGAACCCTTGGAAGTTGGAATTGGTTTCGTTGGGTGAAAAAAGCGGGATGACATGCCCGAGGGGTGGTGGTGTTTGTTGGTTGGTTGGACGAGCTCTGAGGAGGAATCAATGGGGGATCGCCAACATCCATGGTGAAGCGAGGCGAGGCGAGGAAAGGTATGATTGGCGGTGAGGTAGG